TGTAATTGTGAAGAAATGTGGATGGCATCTATTTTTGCATTTTTTTTTTTTTTGTGTGTGTCTATACTATGGTATACTTATAATAAATAATGCGCCGTTTTTTGCACAATGACCACTAAAGAACATATGTGCATCTTAACATCATTGCTATGTTTCTAGACATCTTCTTCAGGTTGGTAAGTATGATTTGCAGAAATGTTCATGTATCACAACCAGCAAGTATGGCAAGCCGTTTTTACATTTAGTTATATTTCAACTGAAGTGAATTCTTTTAAAACAGTTAAAATATTGTAAAGAATCCTTTACCACCTTCATGTACATACACTTCATAGGTCAGTTGTCTGCTGAAGGTGACTGTAAACAACCAATACGCTTCATAGGTCAGTTGTCTGCTGAAGGTGACTGTAAACAACCCATGCACTTCATAGGTCAGTTGTCTGCTGAAAGTGACCGTAAAGAACCCATAGGTCAGTTGTCTGCTGAAGGTGACAGTAAACAACCCATACACTTCATAGGTCAGTTGTCTGCTGAAGGTGACTGTAAACAACCCATACACTTCATAGGTCAGTTGTCTGCTGAAAGTGACCGTAAACAACCCATAGGTCAGTTGTCTGCTGAAGGTGACTGTAAACAACCCATACACTGTTTGGTTTTAAGGAAGATAAGCACTAGTTTGACACCACAGCTTGACTTATTAGTAATAAAATGAAGAAGAAATTGGAAACAAAAAGAAAAGGGGTGCAAGGAATGAGTTATAACACCAAAACGAAAACAAATATTTCTTCAACAAAGCTCAAGCGCTTAGTAGGTCCAGAGACACGCGCGATGTGGACTAATCATTATAACAAAAGCGTAAAAAAAAGATCAGGATCATAAAAGTTAAAACAACAAATGGCGTTTCCATTTGATTATGTAAAGCTCTAAACGGTAATTCTCAAAATTTGCTCTGTTCTACTGCTAAATGTCTGGCTTATAAACCAGTTTAGAAGGAAGGCTACTACAAAGCAGCACAGCCATCATCGCTGTAGTACTACATTAATGGATAAAAAAGGGAATGGAATCGTATAAAACCAAGGGAATAAGCTTAATCGATTTATGTCGAAATATTATGAACAACTGATAAAAGGGTTACTAAACAGTGCGGGGCATAGTAGACTAAACCAAAAGCTATTATGTAAACTAGGGCCGTATTTGTTTATGGAAATTCAAACGGGACCTGGACCAGGGTTGTTCGTTAATAAGGTCGGGTCTAGTAATCTGATGCTGCGAGCCTTGCAAGTGTTGCATAAACATTTGCAGGTCCGCCAGGATTTATACCCGAAAATGATTCATTTAAAATAGTTGAACCGGTTGAACCTGATACGCGAAAACCAAGGGCCTTGAGCTCCAATGTGTGAAATGTAGCAGTTCGGATCATGTTGTACGATAAATAGGAGTGTCTGTGATATCTGTGGATAGCTTTTATTTCCAGCCCTCATTCCCTTTTTTAATTAAGCCACAGTAAGAGGACAATGTAGTAACACGTTGTGAAGGACCATAGTCATCTACGTGAGTCGATATCTAAGTATAATTTCCCTTATTCAAGCGCACCGGAAGTGTAAAATCAATCAAAGTTTTAACTGTATGCGCCCAAAGAAGCTGCAGTCTTACCATTGACGTCTACAACTATACTACACCCGTGATAGTTGTATTGGTGTTCGTACTCACGTTGGCATGAGAATACTAGGTCATTGGTCAACGGTGATGACAGCTGAAGGACAGGAGATGCATATATATATATATATAATAAAAGTGATTAAATGTCCATGTGAAGGAAGTTTTTTAGTCGGTCGTTAATTTTATTTTTTCTATATATATATATATATATACATAGAATAAAAACAATTTTTTCAGATCGTCCGCTAGGCCTTTCTGCCTTCTAGGGCTTCTTCAGGCGGATTGATGTCCAATCATACATGGTGGACCAATCATACCTGTTGTACCTTTATCAGACTATCATCATCACGAATGACTCGGAATGACTGTCTTCGTTTTGCCACAAAAAGATAAGAAATGTTCTGGAAGTAGACAAGGTCCGAACCAACGCGCCAGGACTATGGAAGTCTGTAATAC